CGGGCTCCCTTACTGGCCTCCACGTTCCCTCGTTCTCCAGGAACCTGGTTGGTGTCGGCTGTCTCCAGGACCTCGGCGTCACCACCACGTTCCCCGGGCACGAGCGGTTCGCTGTCTGTTCTGAGGCTGTCTCAGGTTCCCCCCTTGCGACGTTCCCCCGGGACCCGGTGTCCGGTCTGTTTACCCTACACACCGCTTCCCCCCCGGTTGGTGCGTCCTCCCAGGTCGCTGCAGCTTGCTCGTGTCGGTCCCTCACTCACCCGTCCCTTCTCTGGCACCACCGCTTAGGTCACCCTGCTCTCCCGCGTCTGCGTCACATGTCCCAGCACGGTCTTGTCTTAGGTCTCCCCGCGTCGCTCCCTGCCCTTCCTCCCTCGACTGCGCCACCGTGCACGCCTTGCGTCGAGGGTCGGCTCCGCCGTGCTCCTCACTCCTCCTCGCTGCGCCCAGCTACTGCCCCCCTTCAGACCCTGCACTTGGACGTTTGGGGCCCTGCCCCCGTCCCCGGACCGCGCGGTGAGCGCTACTTCCTTGTGCTCGTTGACGACTACACGCGCTACACCACGGTGTTTCCCCTGGAGCGGAAGGCCGACGTGCCCGACGTTCTTCTCCCGTGGGTTGTAGCTGCGCGTCTCCACCGCGGTCTCCCCGTGTTGTGTCTCCACTCCGACCGTGGCGGCGAGTTCGCCTCTGGTCGGCTTGGACAGTTCTGTCGTGCGGAGGGCATCACCCAGTCGTACACCTTGCCGGACTCGCCACAGCAGAATGGGGTTGCTGAGCGCCGCATCGGCTTGGTCATGGAGGTCGCCCGTACCTCCATGATCCATGCCGATGCCCCCCATTTTCTGTGGCCGTTCGCTGTTCGCTACGCGGCTCACCAGCTTAACCTGTGGCCACGCTCCCAGCGGCCGCAGGTTTCGCCGACCCTCCTTTGGACCGGGTCCCCCGGTGACGCGTCTGCGTTCCACGTCTGGGGCTGCCTTGCTCACGTTTGTGCCTCTGGCACGGACAAGCTCACTGCCCGCACTGTCCCCTGTGTCTTCCTCGGTTTCCCCCTGGACTCGTCTGACTGGCTTTTCTACCACCCGCCGTCTCACCGCTTCCTCCACTCTCGTGACGTCACCTTTGACGAGTCTGTCTCCTTCTACCGCCGCTTCCCTCACCGAGGTCTCCCAGTTGCCCCCCCCCTTTTCCTTGCTCCCTCTCCCCCGGTAGCCCCTGCCCCTCTCCCGCCTCGTCCTGCCCCGTCTGGTGTCTCCCACGTCACTCCCCTCCCGTCGGTTGTCCCCGTTGAGGAGTCTGCTGACTCTGGTGGTACCCCCGGTCCGTCCTTGCCGCGTCCCCCTTCCCCAGTGCCTCCGCCCCCACTGTCGCAGTCGCCGACCCCGCTGCCGCCGCCGTCGCCGTCGCCGCCGCAGCCGTCGCCGCTGTCGCCGCCACTGCCGCCGCTGCTCTCGGCCCCTGGGGGTGCTGGTGTGGAGGAGGGTGTTCGTCCTGCGGCTTCTGGGGGTGCCGCTGGTGTTGGAGGGGGTTCTCGCTCTTGGGGTGTTGGTTTTGGGGGTGCTGCTGTTGAGTGTTCTGCCGACGGTCGTTCTGCCTCTGCTGGTCCGAGAGTTCCGGCCCAGCCGTCGTCGCCGCCACAGCAGCCGTCGCCGCCGGTTTCCGCTCTCCGCCTGCTCGGCCTTCCCTCCCCGGACCGCGCGCCGGTGTCTCCCCCACCGCCTCCTGACCTCCCTGTCTACGGTCCTGTGTTCCCGCCGCCAGACTCGTCTCCGGCCCGTCTTCCTCCTCGTTCCCCTCCTGTGTCTCCTCCGCTGTCCCCTGACCCTACCCCTCCGTCTCACGTTTGGGCTCGCCGTCCCTCCCGTGCCCGTCCCGTCTCTCCTGTCCTGCCCACCCACCCTATGTTGCTCCGTTCCCACTCGTCTCGTCCTCCCCTCCTCCCGTCCCCTCCTCCCTCGTCCCTTGCTGTTGCACCTCCTCCGTTCTCTGACTACCTCCGTGCTGCTCGTCCCCTTGTCCCTCGGGTCCTTGCCTCTCTTGTTACCGACCCTGCTGTTCCTGTCTCGCGCCTTGACGCGCTTGTCGCTGCTGTCGCTGACTTCGCTTCTACCCGCCGCCTTGACTACGCTACCGCTCTGGTCTCTGACCCTGCCCGTCCTCTGTCCGTCGGGGGTGCTCCTGCCCTTGGCAGTGACGTCCTAGAGGACAGGCAGTACGAGCTGGCTTTCCTTTCCGAGGCTGCTCCCCATCTCTGCTCCATGCTGTTAGTCCCTGAGGGTGACCCAGACGCCTTCGACATCCCGACCCCTCGCACCTACGCTGAGGCCACCTCGGGACCTTGGGCCTCTCAGTGGATAGCTGCCATGGAGCAGGAGATGGCATCTTGGAGATCCACCGGCACTTACGTCGACGCAGTTCCCCCGCCTGGGGTGAACGTAGTCGATGGTCGGTGGCTCTTCAAGGTGAAGCGCCCCCCTGGAGAGCCGCCTGTCTTCAAGGCGCGCTACGTGGCCAGAGGTTTCAGTCAGCGCGAGGGGGTTGACTTCTTCCAGACCTTCGCCCCGACCCCGAAGATGACCACTCTTCGGGCGCTGCTACACGTAGCAGCACAGCGTGACTACGAGCTTCACTCTCTCGACTTCTCTACTGCCTTTCTTCAGGGCAGCCTACACGAGCAGGTCTACCTGCGCCGACCACAGGGCTTCACTGGTACCTTCCCTCCTGGGACCCAGTGGCTTCTCAGGCGCCCGGTCTACGGCCTGCGTCAGGCTCCCCGCGAGTGGCACGACACGCTACGTGCCACGTTAGCAGACCTGCAGTTCTTTCCGTCCTCTGCTGACCCTTCACTGTTTGTGCGTTCCGGCCAGACTCCGTTCTACATCCTTGTCTACGTAGACGACCTGGTCTTCGCTACTCCTGACAGGGACGCACTGGCCTCTGTGAAGGCTGAGCTGCTGAAGAGACACACCTGCACTGACCTTGGAGAGCTGCGTCGCTATCTTGGCCTGCAGATCTCTAGGGACAGAGCAGCACGCACCATCACTCTGACCCAGTCACACTTGGTGCGTCAGGTCCTTCAGAGGTTCGGTCTTCAGTTCTCCTCCGCACAGCCCACACCTCTACCCGTAGACCATGGGCTCTCTGCTCCCGTTCCTGAGGAGCCAGTAGAGCCCAGTGGCCCCTACGCAGAGCTGGTGGGTTGCCTCATGTACCTGATGACTTGCACTCGCCCAGATCTCGCATACCCTCTCAGCATCCTGGCTCGCTTTGTGGCTACAGGCAGACACCGACCTCAGCACTGGTCTGCCGCTAAGAGGGTTTTGCGTTATCTTGCTAGTACATCAGGCATGGGGTTAGTGCTAGGAGGACGCAGGCCAGTGGTCCTTACTGGGCACACAGACGCTTCTTGGGCAGACGACGCTGAGACGCTCAGGTCGTCGCAGGGCTACTGTTTCAGCCTTGGTTCGGGTGCTATCTCTTGGAGATCCACTCGCTCGTCGTCTGTGGCTCAGTCTAGCTGTGAGGCTGAGATCTACGCTGGTGCCATGGCGGCACAGGAGCTCCGCTGGCTGACCTTCTTGCTCACAGACTTAGGTGAGCGGCCTAGCTCTGCCCCGGTCCTGTACGCTGACAACAGGGCCATGATACTCCTGTGTCAGGAGCCTCGGCTTGAGGGCAGAGCGAAGCATATCCAGCTGCGGTACTTCCTCCTGCGCGAGCTACAGCAGCGCCGCCAGGCCCGCGTAGTTCACTTGGCCTCAGGTGCCAACACAGCTGATATCTTTACTAAGGCGCTTGCGCCTAAAGATCATCAGCGGCACTGTGTACAGCTTGGTCTAGTTCCTGTAGCTGCTCCCCTGTTAGGATACTGATTGTGTACTCTCTATTATATATGCTTGTCAGACTGGCCTTGTGGCCTTACCTCCAGTGGCTGGACTAGTAGTACCACCCTGGCTTGCTTCAGTTTTGGTTGTATTCTTGCTGACTGGTCTCCAGACCCCTGCCTCAGTGGTTGGACTAGTAGTGCCGCCCTGAGCTGTTTGCTTCTTGTTTAGTTTCACCCCTTGTCTAGCCTAGGGGGTGTGTCAACTTATACATATTATCTATGTAGAAGTTATAGGCTAGACTGAGGTATGCTTCTAGTGAGTACAACCAACTAGTATTTGTTCTAGGTTTCCACCTCTAGTAATCATTCGTTTCTACGTTAACAGATTGTACCCTCTACAGTAAAGTTCAGTAACCTACCAAGCCTAACAATTATATAACTCAATATATATTTTAACAACAAGTGGCATGAGATGCCCGGTACTGATTTGGAATAAAGAGGGCCTCGGGAATCGGCTGGGGTGAGTTTGGCAGAGTAAAATCGGGGCGACGGTCGGGCCGATACCGACGCCGAAACCGGCGAGGCGAGTTAGGAGACTGGGGAAGGTGCGAGAGAAGGCTGTTGAGAGGAGGCCAAGGGAGGAGAAGAGGAGGAGCTCGCAATGGCAGAAGGTACCGGCGAGAGGACCGGCAAGGAGGGCAGGAAGAGAGGGCTGCTGCAAAGCTGAAAGAACCGATAGAACAAGTGACCCAACTTATCCGCAATGCTGAGGTGGCTGGTGCAAGATCTCCCGATGGGCCTCTGCTGAGTCTTCTGGAAGAAGCATACCGTATGAGGGATGAGAATGATATGCTTTTACGGTTAGGCATAGATAAAGGTTTGTTCTTGTATGATTCGTCACTCACTGTTCACATTCGCCTTCTCTTTTGCGAAGCTAGACCGGGTACTGTTTACACTTGAGCGCGGCTCTATGTCGTGTTCCAAATTTCCGAGCAATTTCGGCATTTCAGTGCGACACTGAGCCGCAGGCTCGGGATTTGGCTCCGCTCGAGCCCAATGTCGCCCCCCTAACCCTCTTGGCTCGTGGGTTCTAGTGGTCTCGTGTTGAGCGTCACTGGTGCTGCAAACTTGACTGCTGGAGGGGTATATGATTCTTAGATCGGAGCCGCCTAGTCCACCCATCACGCATGCCACAAGGTTGGTTGGAGAGAGCTCTCCGACGTCGTTTCTCGCGTGACAGCGCAGCACCAGAGCATCGCACAGGATCGCAGCATTGCACGGAATCGCAGCATCGCACAGGATCGGAGCATCGCACAGGATCGCCGTGACTCCAACTTATTCTGAGGGCATTGCTCAGTCCGTTCTTTGTGTGCCCCCTGTTCTCGACTTTCCGCCTTCCGTGCTTCAGTCAAAACCCGGAAATTAGCCGTATCCGTTTTTTCGAGACGTACTAGTTAGGCGAAGCTCTCGTCCAATGGCAACGCAGCGGGACCGAGCCGATGAGATTCCGAGCTTTCCTCGAAACCCGCCAGCGCGATCTGTCGGATCAGATCGATCACGAAACAACCAGGAAGCCGTCGACACTGACTCAGCGGGCTTTTCTCGCATCCGCAAAAAGGAAAAGGAAAAGCAACCTCTTATCTACGATTCGTCGAAGAAGGAATCGGCCATGGCGGCCTGTGCGGACGAGCATTTGGAATATCTCGTATGCATGCGCAGCCAGTCGTCGCTGGCTCTAATCTGGGGGCAGTCGGAGGAGTGCCGCGCCAAGCACAAGGCGTTCTGGGAGTGCTACGGCCGACACCGAGGCGTGCAGGGGAACAGAATAGCCGCGTGGCTGGCGCGGCCGGTACTCCCTAGGGACGCGTTGGAGGGGAGAGAGGATGAGCTAAGACCAGAGAAGGAGAAATGATGGGAGATTTTTGGGTGCAGTGCGGTGCAGAGGATGAGGAGAGGATGATGTGAGGTGCAATGGTGAGGATTGTGGAGTCAATCCTTCCCTTGCTTTGATCTGGGGGTAGTTACAAGGGAGCTGTCTGCTAGCATCCCGATGACAGCCGGCCTTGGCTAACATGTATACGCAAGGGACTTGATCGTGCTATTGTTTTCATTAGCCGGCCATGGCTAGATTTCCAATAAGGCTAGCTCTCCTAATTGTATGTTTATGGTTGCCCCGCTTGCTTGAAACTGTGATGTGAGGTGTGATATTTCATGTATAAGTCATGGTAGTATCACAAATGGCCAATGCGTTTGTAACTTCATTAGCTTTCGCAAACATCCACTCCTGCGCCTTCCTGGCGAAAAGCTTCGCCATTTCCTCCGGGAACTCGACCCCCCAGGTTCGTGGTTTCCGTTCCCCGTTTCCCCCGCCCCCTTCTTTCCCCCGCTTTCCCCTCCGCATAGTACCTCCGCCACTACTTCCCCCGAGCGCCCTAAAATACCAAGCTACCTCCTTATTCCGCAGTTCCAATTCGCCACCCCGCGAACCACGCATCCAGCTCAGCTGTCCCTCGGCCAGGAGGGCTTCACCTCTGCGGCGTCCACTTCTCGCCGTACTCTCAACCGCGATCGACTTGCTTATCAGTTCGATTTCCGTAGCCAGCGACCATGGGGCTCGCGGACGTGCTTTACCGCACGGTGATGAAGCGCAACTCGGTCTACATGGGCTTCATCTTCGTCGGCGCGCTTGCCGGAGAGCGGGTAAGGGGCTGAAATGCAGCGGCGTCGTCGCCGCGTTTCACTTGGCATTACCTGTGTCTCTCGATCCATAGATCTGAGTATGGTTAGGTTTGAAATCCGTTTTGGCTTTAGCTGTGCCTGGTGCGAGGGTCCCAGCATTCATGCAACGGATAGTGTTTGCTGGTGGCGAGCATTTAGTCTGGGATAATAACAGTGTAACCTCGCTCCGACGGCTAGTTCTTCCACTTTTAGGGTAACCAGTCCCCTAGATAGAACCGGCCAGTAGCTTAGTTGCACGGGATTGCTTCATCTTGCTAGATGGCCACAGTGTAACGGCTTCCTGGCTATAGTTGTTACGTGTTGTGTGCGTTCTCCGCGCTTCAGATGCCTCGTCCTGCTCGCAATAAGGCTCTACGAGGTGGAAACCGCACGTTGATGGGATAGGCGAACGAGATCCGACTCCCGCTTCCAGCGGCATTCCACCGATCCGCGGTTTCCGTGTAGAGTTTGCATAGCTAACGAGACTAGTGGTCACGCTGAGCAGGAAGTGGGGTCATGTTCCCTGAGTATACTTCAAGTATACGCCCTCCCTCTGTTCTCTTCCTTGCTCTCCCCCCCCCCCCCCCCCCCCCACATCAGGCGGTGAACTACACTTTTGATCAGCTCTGGGACTCGTACAACAAGGGGGTGAGTCTTGAACAGGGATGGGTACAAGCGAGAATGGAGGGCCAGGGAGGGGTACAGGCAACTATGGGGGGGGGAAAGGGAGGGGCACAAGCAATATTAGGGAGGGTGGGAGGGGTGAATCCATTCCTCTTGCTAATTCCATCTTTCCCCACACCCTTGCTCTTTGTGAGGTGTGCTTTCTTGTTATGGTTGAGGGTCATCACCAAGTGCCTCTTTTCCCCATCCCCCTTTTTTTTGTGCAGAAGCGGTATGAGGACATCTCAGTTCTTGGAACAAGAACAGGGGAGTAAGCTTGGACATCGGTGTGTCAGTCAGATAAAGCTCCCTGTGTAGACATGGTTGCTGGTCGCCTCACCCCATTCATGAATCATGACGCTGATTAATCTGGAAGCGTTCAGCACTCTACATGACACTAGAAGACATTGTACACGTGTAGTTGGGTGCACAATCTGTGGTAAAAGCTTAATGTGCCATCTTTGGGCTGGAGCTCGTCCTATGTACAAACCAATTCCCCATCCACAACATACAGCAGTTGGTACATTCATTGGCTTGCTCTCATGTGGATGAGCACCAGTCGTAAAACTGGCAAGAAATCTTGCGATAATGAACGTGTCTAGGAAAGTTTGGCAGAAATGCCAGCAACTCACAAAACAAGCAACCCAGGCTCGCTAAGACCAGAAAGTGCTGCAGCAAACCAGCCCATGCAAGTCACACAGCCGTTAGGGATGTTCCCTCACTCCTACCTACGCCACGTTAGTTCTGTTAGTGTCTTCTACTTATGTTTCAGAGCGTCACTGCCACCTGTAGAGCCAAACCCTCCAGCCCCGCGTGTGGTTTCATCCAACTCCTCCACCTCCACCACATCAGGCGTGACTATCCGCTCCAGAATCAGCTGTGCAACTCTGTCACCGACCTTCACAGGGAACTCCTTATCGGAATGATTGAAGAGAATCACTCCCACGTTTCCCCGGTAGTCGTAATCCACGACGCCTCCTCCCACGTTGATGGAGTGCTTCAGGGCCAGGCCGGAGCGAGGGGCTGAGGGAGTACGGGAATTGATCAGGGAGCAGAAGGCACAAGACAACATATCACGGAAAATGCTCACAGATTCCAGCTTAATACACAAATGTGAGTTGTGAGCATTTGTTGGTACCACGGAACTCGATACTCAAATGCTCACGACGCCTCCTCCCACGTTGATGGGAGTGCTTCAGGGCCATGCCAGAGCGAGGAGCTAAGGGAGTGAGATAACAGATCGGAGAGCGTAAGGCACGAAGCGACGTATTAATAGGCAGTTCTCACGTGAATTACCCGCTGGAAACGAAATATGACACGGTGCGAAGGGTGTTTCCGGGATTGGGTGGAGAAGGGTGTGGAGGATAGGGTGGGATCGGAACTCACCCACTCGGGCGTAGGTCCCCAGGGGGATGGCGATGGCGATGTCGGTCTTGACGAGTGCTTGCCCTCTTGCGGGTACGGTGACGTCATGCGCACTGATCACGAAAGAAAACAAAGAATCCATCAGACAAAAAGTCGAGCACAAGGACATTAAAAGAGCGTGAAAATAAAGCATGTCACCCACACTGTCAAAAAGGCACATCGGCTCTGGACAACTTTTCGCTGCGCGTATAGTTGCATACCTTGCAAGATCATAACCCGCCGCACTCGCCGACCCTCTTCTTGGAAGGATGGCCGTCTCTGACAGCTTCTTCACACGGAGAGTCAGTTCCTGGTCAACCTTAAACTTCTTCAATGGCGACTCTTCTGTCGCTAGATCGCTTTTTACTTTCGGTACGTCGGACGCCGTAGCATCCTTAGTGTTTGGCGCTTCTGATGCGACGGTCTCCTTTGATTTCGGCTCTTCTGACGCCATGAAAACGCTGGTCCTGAGATGACACCTGATGCTTTCTATACCACACGTAGACGCTTCAGCTCGTGGAAAAGGAACGGAGTGCGGAACCAGAAAGGAAGACGGAACACCAAGTGCGTGCCTGCGTATGAGGCAATCAAGACCTTGTCGGAGAATGGAGAGAACCATCTGCTGGTGAAATGGAAAAGGCTAGTAAGCTACCATGGATTCCACAAACATCCATCACTGGGGTAAGCCCAGGGCAGATGCAGTCTGGGAAATCTGCACCCTCAGAACACAACCCCTCGGGCAAGCCCCAAGGATTTTATCCACCTTTCAATTTGGCCCCATGTCATGGGAACAGTAATTAACTCCCGGTCATCGTTTTCGTACAGACCCTCGGATGCTGATGGAGACCCAAGGCACGGCGTCGCCCTCACGATTCAAAAAGGGAGTACAAATTCTGGAAGTCGGATGACGCGTTATCGACATCCGAGCACATAAGGAATCTACAGTTGCGTTTTCTTCCAGGTTTCGCTGCTACTAACTTACCGCATCTTCTCACTACTCCAAATTAGGCAAGTTCATATTGCTAGAAAGATGAAGAGCTAGTGCCCATAGAACTTGACAAACTTCGTCTGAGCCCAAAACATCTTCCAAATATCGGATTGGGGAGTTATTAGGACAGTGACACCACAGGGCCTTTCCGAAAGAGAGCAATTCCACTGACTTCTACTGGCGGTTGAGCCTTGACTTGCTTTGCCTCCTTGTTCATCCCCTTCTTTCGCTTCTTCCCCTCTTTATCCTCCTGACCCTCTTTTTCCTTTCCCTCCTTACCTTGTGACTTGGATCCTTTTGACTTCTTCCCTGTATTGTCTTTCTTCTCCTTTTTCGTACCAGTAATGCCAGTGTCATGACCTTCAGTACTGTCACTGTCTGCACTCCTTGTGTTCCCTGCTTGCTTCATCCCTCCTCCTTTTCCCCTTTCCCCTCCCGCTCCTTCCCCATATCCTTTCTTTGCTGCAGATACAGTCATCTCTAGCAGCCTATCCAAATGCTGATGCAGCATATCCTGAGCCTGCAGGGCAAATCGTAGAGTAAGCAATAAAACATGGGAGGAGAAGAAACAAAGAGAACAAAATGAATAGCCGATCGGGGAGTCCAGGTGCTGTCCAGCAGTTGTCCAGCAGATCTCCAGCAGCCTGTCCAGGTGCTGACGCAGCAGATCCTGAGCCTGCCCAGGTGCAAAATGTAATGGAAGCGATAAAAAAGGGGAGGAGCGGGAATGATGAGAACACAGTAACCAGCAGATCGTGAAGTCGCCTCTACCAGCCTATCCACATGCTATCGCAGCAGATCCTGAGCCTACGAATGCGAAGGAATCAGAAAGAGAGGCAACAAATAGGCAGTCCGAGAAGCATGGATTTTCACTGGACATTTGATGATGAACAGTGACTTGCAGCTATGTCCGGCAGCCTATCCAGGTATTGGTGTGGTGATGGAGCAAAAGGGGAAAGAAAGAGGAGGAGACGGAAGGAAACAAAGGGCCCAGATACACTCTCTGTTTTTATCCATGGCACTCACCCGTATCTGATAGTGCTTCAGCTTCAAGTCCTTTGACTTCTCTCCTCCACCCTTCCCCTCCCCATCCTCTCCTCCCTCGTCTTCCCCCTCATCCTCATCCTCACTCCCACTGCCCTCCTCCTCCCCATCTGGCTGTATGCCCATCTTCCTCAGCCTCCTCCTCTCCTTGCTCGCCAGGGTTGAATGGAGCCCCCTCTTGGCCTTGCGCTTGTGCCTGGGATATTACAAGCAAAGAAATGCATGGCGCTTTAGTACAAAAATCAGCTGAAGAACCTAGAACCTTAGTTGGTCAATCATGTTGACATGTACGTACGTTTACGCATATGTTTGCGTACCAAGAATGACTTTACGTCTCTGGGCAGGTTAAAAACTTTTGGGCCTGCCCTAGATCTAGGTGTTTACCACGGAGGGGTGCCCACCTCTTCTAAAAACTGTGTGCACTCACTGAACTATGCTCCCCCCAATCCCCCTTCTCCCGCAGCAACCCTTATCGGTCTTCCTCTCACAACTTCAAAGCCACCCACACTCCTAATCTCCTTGTCTTAGTTTGTTTTCCACATAGGTAGCCGTAGCCGTAAGTCTCGCGCATTCTAGGGCTGTTTTTTTTGCTCTTGGTTCTGTTTTTCACCCCGGCCATAAAATTTCGAAAGCTGCCCGCCAAAATGTACGAGTAATTACAAGTAAAGGTAAAGTACGTTTACGCGTAACATTACGCTTACTTAGGTGCTCTGGGCGTAGTTGACCAATTAAGTCTAGAACCCTAAACCTGGGACCCCCCACCCATAATGTGTGACACTTTCACCCACGACGGAGCTGATAGCTGCTTGCCTCTTTGCCTAAACCCTGAGCCCGAACGCTAGATACCAGGGGTCTCACCTGAGCGTGGTAGCAGCAGCCGCAGCACCCACAATGTGTGTCCCTTCAACCACAACCCGGAACACCCGAAACTCAAACCCCAAACCCTGTAGGGGTCTTACCTGGGCGTGGTAGCAAGCTGTAGCCGCAGCGCCCATGAAGTGCGGCCCTTTTACCACAACCCGGCACACCCGAACGTAAATCCAAAGCCCTTGACTCTAGGGGTCTCACCTGAGCGTGGCAGCAGCAGCAATGGAGGCAGCTGCACCCGTGAAACGCGTCCCGTCAACAACGGAGCTGATTGATTGCTGCTTCAGCTCTGAGTCCAAACCCTGGATTCTAGGGTTGCCTCGCCTCACCTGAACGGGGTAGCAGTAGCAGCGGCGCCCATGATGTGCGACCCCTCGACCACCACGGAGCTGATCGCTGCTCGCCTCTTCGCCTCCTCCTCGTCCTCACTCGAGCTGTCCGCTGCTGCATTGGAAGCTTCTATCGCTTTGGACGCATTCGAAGCTTCAATTGCCTTGGACCCGCTGGTCGTCGCATTGGCACCGGTACTTCGAGTGGCCGCGTTATTGCTGGGTCCGTTACAAGCACCAGAGAGGCCAGCATTCCCGCACGCTGCACCGTTTTGGCTCTCGCGTTTCGCACGCTTTTCCGCTCGCCGCTCCTCCTTCTCCCGCCTGACTCTCTCGCCTTTCGCCTCGGTCTCCTCGGTCTCCTTACCCTGTCTCTTCTTTTCACGTTTCTCCTCCTTCTCCTTGCGCTTCGTCTCGCGCTTCTCTTCTTTCTCCCGCTCCTTCGCTCGATCCTTAACTCTCGAAAACGTCACGCTATCGAGCTCGCCCCCCTGCGTCCTCTCCTGTCCAACCATCTGCTCGAAATACCGCAATTTCCCGGGCCCTTTCCGTTCGAACATCCCCTTATCCATATCCGGCGCGTCCACGTCATCATCCGAGCTCTCCGTGTCATTTTCCCGCGCGTTTTTCCGAGGAGGGGCGGGTTTCCCAGGGTAATGCGCTCCGGGAAACAGCCATCGGGAGCACTTGGGTTTCTTCTTTTTCTTCTTCCCGCCAGCCGGGGGGGTGTATCGCAGCCCTAGGCTCTTCGCCTCGAGTCGTGCCTGCTCCTCTGCGTTAATAAGGATCTCGCGCTTCTTGAAATTCTTGCCCGAAAACTTCCCTCTCCGCGGCTTTTGCTTGATTAGCTTCCTCACTACCATGTCTAAGGCACGGCCCTCCCTACAAACACGCTGTAGAGGGTGGCTTTAATCGGCTGTATCTGGTGGGAATACAACACGCTGAGTCAGGTTTCTGTTGCGAAGACCGTCTGCCTGGAAAATTGTAGACTTAGCACCAGATAATACCACATAATTACCTGTTCCTCGGCAGCATCGAGCCAGGAAGCATGGATAAGACATAGGCGAGGACAGCAAAACCTTGTTGCGATGGCAGGCATCACCACGTGTAACCACTCTTCGTCCAGTCACCTCTTTCTTCGCCCGCATTTCGTCAAAGCACTCACTTCCGATAGCCCAACCCCACCTGATCTCACCAGGTCACTCCTCCTCTTCGTCAAGATCTCGCCAAGCCTCGCTTCCATTCGCCTGCGTAACCCATTCCAGCTACCAACCCTCCCCTGGAAAATCCCCCACCCATTGCCCGAGCAGCTGACGCCATGTAACAACCTAGTCACCAGTAGAACCGAAATACGTCAGGTGACGTCCATCCACCGACCTGTAAGCCTCTGTAACGTTTGGTGCAATAAATCACCGTACTGGAACGCTCTTTGCTGACCTCGGATGTCAAATTGTGATCACTTGTCACACGTCCGTCACGTCAGGTGTGAAACAAGTTGGCTGGTGTATTCATTCACCGACTCGAAACCTTTTTCACCGCTTTCTAACGTTTTGCACCGCTACGAGCACTCATACCACTCCCTATCTGTTCAGTACATAGGGATTGTCCGTCCTTCTCGACCAGCTTTCTTTGTGCGTAGTTGTTTTGGTTGGGATCTCCAGAAACTGGCTCGCCGACGGCTACGGAGATAACAGGATACCGCGAATACAGGAGCCAAGCTTACGAAGGTGAGAATGCATCCATTTTAGTGAGTCGCCTAGAGTCACTGGTGGTCGGCATGGCTGTTAGTGAAGATTTCCAGTGACAATAGCGAGTTGACCACCAGTGACTCAAAGGAATGCGTCCGTCGTCGCAAGTTGCTTAGGAATGCTGGTGGTCGGCATGCCGGTTGCGAGGGAAAACGCTTTCATGGTTCTCTTATTAACATCTCAGAATAGTTCGTTTCTCACTGTTTCATATCGTACACGTTCGAGATTGTTTTTAGGTTCCGTAATTGTTCGTTCTCTTACTGTTCCCCCGTTCCCCCATCCTCGCCAAGACGTCGCAAGTCAGCTCAGGCATCAGATTTCTTCTCTTTCTGGGGCTCCTTGCCTAAAACTTTCCCCTTTGCAGCCAGAAAATAAAAAAACTCACCTCACCTCGACTAACAGCGACGACAGCAACAGAATCAGCACATTGTTGAAAGGAAGCTCGGACGCAGACAGAGACAGGGAAACGCTGTTGCCAGCATGAATGTGGATGAGGAGATTGAGAAGCTCAAGGAGGAGATCTCTAAGCTGGGGGAGAAGCAGGCAGATGGATCCATCAAGGTGAGTTCCATGTTCGTATATCATGCACGTATATCGTGCATATATGTCATGCATGTATACCACGCTCCATGTATGCATGTACGCCATGCGCCCATGATGAGATTGAGGACCTAGAGAGGGAAATCTTACAGCTGGGGGAGAAGCAGGCAGATGGATCCATCAAGGTGGGTTCCATACACGCATTCCTGTTGTGCTGTGTTCGTTCTTGCTCGTCCGTGCATGCATGGAAATGGGCTTGGTAAAGGCCTTCCTGCACCAGGGCTTGAATTCAAGCAGATGTTGTGCTCTCATGCATGTGGGGAGTCATCTGTGGGAGTTGTGAAAGCTGTGTATGTAAGTACAGAAAAAGTACTGCGGGCCTGTAGGCATGCGTGACAGGATGCTGTTCCGTCGAGTTGTCGCTGAAAACTGAAGAACAACAAAAAAATGGAACGTATTCTGCACTGCATGCTGCGTCGCTTCGCTGCCTAGTCTCTCCTCATGCCTGCATGTGGTTTGTCGTCCTCCACATTCCTACCCACCTGCTCGTTGATTGATCCTGACCATTACCTTCATAAATAGGGGTTTCTTCCTGCTTCGATGTCGCTGTCCAATTCTTTTGTCCATACAGGTGAAGTTTGGCAAGCTCTTTGACGAGACAGGAGACATCTTCGAGGCGCTTGGGGGAACACTTCGTGCGGCAAAGAAGAGGAAGATAATCGCATTCGCAGCAGAAATGCTGCTGCAAGGCCGAGATAACAATGTGGACATCATTCTTTTGCCACAATGACCTAAGTCATCATCGTCACACATGCATGCACCCTGTCAGAGCCGCTGGCGGGATGATACTGTTTGACAATAGCATTGCGAAGACTAGACAAGGCACCAAGAGCATACTCCTTTCCATTATTCAAGCACAATGCACTTTATTCAGCCTAGAAGCAACACTGCACAGCACCATCAACCGGAGTAGGTGCTCATGCCACTGGACATCACCATGCAATTGTTGCCTCGTGCTCCAATGTGGGCACTCTGCAATTCAGCGCTTATCCCTTCTGTTTGCAATTCAGCACATCAAACAAGCCAGGTCATTTCTGACACAACAAATAAACGAATAGTTTGGGACCAAACCAAATCAGTACTGGGCATCTCATGCCACTTATAGCAAGCACCGCATCCTGAACTCTAAGCTACATGCTTGTATACAGGTGCCACAGCTGTTACACTTCATGGTTTGGGCTTGCAGAGCACCTTGCCTACGTAGAGCGAGCTAGAGGAGCAGGCCCAGCCAGGATTGTAGGAGTACATGAGAGGGTAGGAGCCCTTGAAGACCTTCCATACCACGCTTGAACACGTATCTCCCCTCACCACAGTGTAGGTGCCGTAGCTGCAGGACAATCCCACCACGACAGAATCCACGCACAACTGGAGACACAGCAAGTGGACGGAAAAAAATTGGTTATTGCAACAGTGGCTGAGAAAATGCAGCACACGGCCTGCTGCTGAACAATGCTGACACCGGAGTGCTGAACTAGTCAAGGGACGGTGTGGCAAAAGGTTACACATCTGACTGCCAGACTTACATCTTGCCCCACAAGCCTCTGTGACGTGTCTGAAGTGCAAATGAGCCCCGGGTTGTACTGGTACAGCTGGGTGGCGCTGATTGGAGGGTAGGTGTTGACCATGACGTCACTGCAGGTCTCCCCCGGGTTGACTGTGTAGTAGCTGGTGCAGCTCTGGGGCTCTGGGGAGCCGGTTTGCACGCAGATCTGCTGGCCAGGCGTGAGGGCGTTACACTCGATGTCAGGGTTGGCGATATTGACAGAGGCCTGAGTCACATTGAAGAGTGTTGCAATGGACGCACACGTGTCACCCTGCCATTGGGGGAGGGAGAGAGGGCGAGAAGGGCAGGAACAGGGGAGGAAGTGAGGCTTGAGCACTGAGTGAGCAAACTCGATGACCAGAGTGGGGAGACTCTACAGCCAGCGTGCTGGCAAAGGACCGGCGGAAAGAATGATTCCAATGAGTCAGCTGGTGCTAGAAGGTACCTGGGCGATCGTGTATGGGACCACACAGCCCAGTGTGGCAGTAGTGGAGTTGCGAACGACAATGGACGTGCCGGCAGCGAAGTTGCCGCTGCACTTGAGCTTCTGCAAAAGGGCGGCCAGAAGAGGAAAACGAAGAAAAATAGGGCCAGAAGAGACAAGCGCGGGTGAGTGAACAGCAAAAACACAGAAATTTAAACGAAACGAAGTTGCTTATACCCTATGCGCCCAAAACAGAAACTGCCAAGCAGCCCTGCTTACCGGGTTGAGAGCAGTGAAATCCTTCTTGGAGAGCTGGTAGGTGGTGCGGACGAGGCCGCAGGACATGGCAACAGGCAGCACCACCTTGGTGACCAGTGCGCCTGGGACACAGGTGGTGGTGCCGTCTGTGAGCGACCCGAGGGTGTAGCCAGCGGAGCAGAGGCAGGTGTAGCCGCCCTTGGAGTCGTCTATGCATGAGCCGAAGCCGCAGGGGTTGACGGCAAAGAACGTGCAGACCTTGGCTGCAAGGCAAGGCAGAAAAGAAAAGAAAACAGAAGGAAAAAACGTGGTGGAAAGGAAGAGCTTAGAAAAAAGCAGACGAAATTAATAGGAAGTAGTGAAAAAGCAAACCGGAGACGAGCATGTCTTGGTGTAAGCAAGATTCATCATGTAAGCACGACTCGTAACACAGAAGCCGCTTACCGAGGGCACAAGTCTGTGTCTTGTCAAGGTTGGTGACAGCCATGAATCCAGCCGGGCACGTGCACTTGTTGCGCTGGCTCTTGTTGGTGGGTGTGGACGTGCAGGTGCCGCCGCCGCAGGGGTTGATGGGCTTGCACGGGTCAGGGGCTGCAATGAAACCAGATCCGGGGAATGAGGAAGGATTCAGCTGTGAGACGAAATCAAAGCCGAAAGCTGGATGGTGCATAAGAAGCACAAGAAAGGATGAGAGGCCCTTTAAAATGCAGATGAGGAGGGGGGAGGGGGGGAACGCACTCGTGATGACAGGATAGAGGCCGGGCATTGTGTTCATCCCACAGATTCCCGCGCCGCCCGCAATCGCAATCCGCATGTAGCCGTTCTCGCCCCACGACGGACCCCACGAGTTGCGGATGATCCAGTACGGCACTGCGTCCATCATGTTAAAGCCCACCACAACGACCAGGTGGTCGACAATTCCCGTGCTGAAGCACTTGGGGTCGTTGTACACAACCCCGCCCGTGAACGCCTTAAAGGAGTCCGACACCGCCTCGATGTAAACCACCACGGGCTGCTTCTGGACTGCGAGCGCGATCCCCAGCCACCCGGAAATGCCGACACTCTCAAACATGGAGATGGAGTAGGGCGCGGGCGGCATGGCAGGGGCAACGGGGGCCTTGGCAAGCATGGGCTTGTAATTGGCGAGCATCCGGTGACGGTAGACGCTGGGGGCTGCAACGGAGACTTCCGCAGGGAACTCATCTGTGGAGAGGAGACGGCGGACGCGAAAGCGAGCAGAGACCTGCAGATCACGCAAAAGAAAGGAAGAAAAGTAGGGCGATTAGTCAATCCGGGAGTAGCATCCATGGGATGCCAAAACTTGGAGCGTTGCCGGCTGCAACTGATATTCACCTTGTCATCTACCTTGCACGAGGCGGAGTTGAGAATGCCCGTGTAAGGGTAACTGTCAGTAGTAGGCAGACCCCCACTCGCAGCAATATAGTTGAACGCGTCGTCGGGCTTCCCCCCATCACATGTCCATGTGCCCTGGCAGTCGATGGCCTTCTGCTCGGATATGTTGGGCGGAGCGAGGTTGTACGCGATGGCATAGGCTGCTTCTACTGCTGCCACCGGGGCGAAGATCCAACACGCGGCTGAGATGGAAGGGTTGCGAGGTGGAAGAATGGAAGATGAGGAAATTGGAGAGGAAGAAAAAGGCAGGGGGGAAATGGACAGGACAAGTAAGAAGGGGAGGGGATAGCGGGAGGGGGGGGGGGAGGGGGGGTTGGGAGAGCGTGGCAATCAACGACGAGCGAGCTGCTGGCGGACTTACAGCAAGTGCCTTGGTTCTTGGCAGCGAGAAGAGCCGAGGGGATGCGCGACGTCCAGTCAACGGACGGCGGAATGGTCCACTGCGGGCTCGCCACGGTTCCCGTAAATCCGACGGTCATGTAGCGGAAATACTGGTTGTAATAGGACCCGCTTAATTGCGCTGCGCCGTCCAGTTTCGCTCCGCGGAAATCGCGCTTCCGCATGGTGTCGTCGTCAGGGGGCGACGGCGGGGGGGGTGCGGAGCTCTGGAACGGCGAGCACGAGGGGTACATAACAGTAACACCCCCTACGCGAACCGATAGGGTAACGGTGTACATCCCGTCGTAGCAGAGGCACGTGGGGGTGAGGGATGGCGCGCTCAGGGTGCAGTAGCCAAGACCCCCGCAGGCACCCGCGGGGAGCGCGGCTCCGCAAAACGCGACGCATTCAATCGCCCGCCGCTGCGCGCCCACGCTGCAGCCCGTCCCCGCGCTCGCGCTTCCGCCGCTGCTCCCCGCCAGTTTCTTCTGGTCTTTTTTGTTGCTCTTGCCCTTGCCCTGCGTGAAACTTTCCGAGACGTTCCAATTTCCGCCCAAGAAACAATTCTCCCTCATGCTGCTGCGTTCCGACGAGCCGAACTGGTCGAGATTTGCCTGCGCGAATCCGCCATTGAGATTCGAGGGGCAGAATTCTGCAGATTGTGCGGTGAAGGTGACTGGCGGGGTGATGAAGTAATTTCCGCTGAGATCATAAGTTGCCTGAGCGGCGTTGGCGAGCGAAGCAGAGGCGAAGGAGGAGACGGGGCTCCCGCTGAACAGGTTGTCGCTGACGTCACTGTTTGAGAACAAACGGAAGGACAATGGAGACAACTGGTCGAGCCAGAATCGACGGAGAGATAATGACACGAGCAGGAAGCCGGATGAAAAGGAACATCGGCGCGGAAGTACGAGAAAGAGGGAGCTCCGCGAACAACCGTGAAGAAACGGGAAGAATAACGTAGAACCGATAAGAACCGTGAGGAACAAGATTGACAAGATTGCCCAGCAGCCGTACAGGAAGACGAGGCCAGTGAAAGACCGGAGGGCGGCGGGGAGGTTGCCAAAAAACTGATTGCGGCTAACGTCCCTGTCATGCAACGACAGAGATTCAACACGGCACATGGGTATTTTGTTTTAAATAACAGGTCGAAAGGAAAGCCGCGTGACTGCAACTGATTTACACGAATAGTACGCCTAGCAACCAAAGCACCAGTATGCCATTGACTCACAGTGCGACGAGAGACTGCAGGCCGACGATGCTCTCAGGAAGAAAGCCGGACAACTTGTTTTTTCCCACAAGCCTGAACAGTCAGGAAATTACGATTTCCAAGATAGAAGGACAAAAAAAGACGTAGAGAACAGATGCGAAGAGTTGAAATCATTCAATTCGCTAAGAAAGAAAGAATATGTACACTTCAAATGAACCGTAACCCAAGGATTTCAAGTGGAGCAACGTGTGGGGTGGGTAAATTACAGTGACTGGAGCTGGGAAAGGTCGAAGAGCGAAGCGGGTATTACTCCAGAGAACCGATTTTTTCCGAGGGCCCTGCATCAAATGGACGATACACGCATATAAGCAGCGAGCTTCCTCAGCAACGGAATGAAACGAGCCAGAAAAGCCAGGACCATTGGCTGAACATAAATCTCGAACGTGAGAAACTGCAGACGATAGAAAGCCAGCTCGACGGGAATCTGTTCCGTAATAGACGAGACGTACAAAGTGTTGAGAGCTGTGAGCCCATTGAAGGCGTTGGGAAGGGCTCCAGTCAGGTAGTTTGAGCTCAGATCCCTGAACAGAACGAGAATGAAACGTTAGTTACGACGAAGAAGAGGTTGACAGACGAATGACCGGACACACGAGGCTAGGACTAAACATGGATGAGTGCTGGGTAAACTTGCCGCCATATTTACAATATCTGCAGGTTGACCAGATTGGAGATGCTGCTTGGGAGACCACCAGTCAACGCGTTTCCGCTAAGGGACCTGAGGAATCGGAGGAGAGAGTAAGTTTAGATAAGCGAAAGTCGAACTCGAATCCAAACGATAAGAAGGAACATGGGAGAGGTTCGCCAGACTCATGGCAGGGGATACGGCAACAGGATGGCAATGCAACAGGATAAGGGAAGACGGCGGAACTGCAGGAGGAATGAAGGCAAGACCAAGAAACTACGAAAGGCGATGTTTCAGGTGGAGATGAAGAAATCTGACGCTCACAGGTTCGTCAGTGCGGATAAGAATCCGATGTCAGCAGGAATATTGCCGACGAGCAGCATGTGGTCCAGAGCCCTGCGCCACGTGAACGGAAAAAAGGGGAACTGAGCGGTGGAACAGGGCGGGGTGATGAGAAAACCGTAGCAGAAAAAAAAAAAAAAAAAAAAAAAAAAGGGGACAGACCGTGGGAAAACAATGGCATTTTCCCGTTTCCCCTTCCCCCACCTCCCCCCACCCTCCCCTTCCCCAACCTCCCCTTCCCCAACCTCCCTCCTCTTCCTTTCCCCCTTTCCTTTCCCCTACCTCCCAATTCCAGCCCACCCCAAAACATTTGCGGGCACTTTCGTCAATCCCTTGGCACCGCGCATACAATTTCTGAAGAGCCGAGAGCTGAGTCACAGCATCGGGAATCGACGCTCCCGCAAGCTCGGTTCGCCCTGAAAACACTCTGGAGGAAAACAATTTTCCAAAAGGAAGAGAAAGAGCACACGAACCTGTCAGCAATTACACCAGAGAAGGAACGCACGCGAAAAAAAAAAAACAAACAAAAAACAAAACAAAACAAACTGGACGCGAGGGTCGGAAGTAGCAGAGATAGACGAATGTGAACGTGAGAACGTACAAGGAAGTGACTTCGCCAAGCGCGTTGCAGGTGAGACCGAGCCATTGCGAGCAGTCCGATGCGTTGAACCACGTCTGGCTCAGCGGCAGGGCCTGACCCCACGCGTCAACAATCGCTTGGAGAGCAGGTTCTGCAATCACGCAGCCATAATAAGTAACGACAGCTGAGCCACTGAATGGAAACAGGTGTTCACGCCTCACGCAACAGAACTGGAGGAGCGAATGGGAAGGCGGTATGGCCAGATATTTACGCTGCTTACTTTGAGTATCCGCAACCCCTTGTGCTTTGGCGAGAGGCGATAATACTGCGAGGAAGCTAAGGGCGAGAACCAAGGCACTCAGTTTATGCCGATGAGGCGAATGCGTCCTCTCTAACAGCCTCATGGCGGCTGTTTGTAGGTAGAACCCTTGAAGCTAGGCGTTGGCGCACTGCACTCCTGCACTCCCTCCTGTTGAAAACCGCGAGCGTAGGAAGAGTAAAGACATCAGAAACGGCTAACGAGCTAAGAATATTCTAGAGTAACCGACAATAAAAAGCGAATAATTTCGGCTAAACAAGGCCATCTCCGGCCATCTCGCTTATGACAGCGATGGGCATTCGAGCTAGCAGGTCCTATGCTACCTAGTGCAAGCCTCCAGAATATAAGGGCTGAGGTGGGACTTACCCTAAGGTGAACTACGAAGGCGATGAAACGTAAACTTATGAAAGGTCACACTGTCCGTACGTGAGCTACGAAGGCAACGAAAAATGACCTAAGCTCTAGAATCTGAGTTATGAAAGGTCACTTAGTCCGTACGTACTGATCTGAGCTAGCGTATACCTCCTAATCTGCCCCTGCAACCAATAGGCCAAGAGATAATTGGTGATGAACGAGAAACCCCAACAGAGGAGAAGCAGCAACAGCTGATAATGCCGCGTTGTACTGTAGAACCTGCTGCTGCTGGCTGGCTGGATGCAGGGGGGTCTCCTTGGCATGGTTTGAAGCAAGGGGCACTAGGAGAGTCGAGCAAAGCGCCACTGTTGCCTGGAGGGTCGAGGACAAAGGACATGGCGGTAGAGGTGGGGGAGAAGGAGAGGCGAATGGACGCACGACACATTATCGTGGAACAATTTTCCCCTTGAACTATGGGAGGGAAAAATCTACCTGGGGCAAAACCATGGACGTCAGACTCAATGTGCATTCAAATAGCTACACTACAGAAGATGCCCGGATTTCCAAGAAGTTCACGGATATACAGTGGGATGGCTTGTGAATTCAAAACTTTCGACTGGCAGGGTGCTTCAAATTAATATTTCAGGTCCCGTCGGGACTGATGGCGGTTGGTGGGTGGGCTGCGCGAAGGCAAGGGTTTGGTCATGTCAGGTGTTCTCAGATCGAGGGGACAAATTGGCCGTTAGGGTTTGCCCTCTATGTTGTTTGGTTCGGTTCGGACTGGTGGTGATGACTGGTTGCTGGCCCGCGCTGATAAGGACTCCGTTCAGCAGGAGAAGCCAGTACTGTAGTCGGTTTTGGGCAGAGTGGTGTGTTTCAGCCAATCAAGGTGGTTGAAACCCCAATTCGATGACAACGGGAATCCACACAAAAACACTACAACAACTGCGCCATCTCGCAGAACTGGGGTTTCGTCATCACAGGCATAAACTCAGGCCCTGATGGCGAGTCGAACTTACCCCTACCAGACCGTAGTGAACCTCGAGCTCATTTTTTTTTTCCCAAACATGCAGCAACGCACTGAACCGTGCTAAAGTGGACACTAGCGATACCCCGAGGGGCACAAAAACCTGAACCTCGAGACTCTCTCTCTCTCTCTCTGCAAGGGGTACTGTACAGTTTGTGAAGGTTGGGGTACTGTACAACGCTCTGCCCGACGCTTCTCGAACAACATGGCAACTGGGAGTGAGGGGCGTAGGCACGTGAAATAACAAAACAGACAACCCCCCCAACATACAGAAGGTCTTGATACACCTCTGCAAATTCTCGAGGCCGATTCTGACAGCCGGGAAATACGGAAAATGTGCTGTCCATGCGACCACTCAGGCAGAATCCACGACATCGGGCAGCAGATGAAAGATTCGTCCATTTCCACAAACTGGCAGCAGACAATCGCCGCAAACCTTGGCTGGTCCCGAACCGCAGGTTTGTGAGCTGTTCCATGATGACCATCTGGTTACACCTCTTCGGCGTTTGGAAGACAGAAAATCTACCACGCGGCGAGCTTCAATTACGCGAAACGTCAAAACCAGGGGCAAAAGCGACTCTTACATATCGTAGCTGAGGGATGCTCGCAAGTCCAAGTTACAGAACCCGAAGCGAGTACACGGGTCTCATGTCAAGCTGAAGCTTTTTTGACACCCTACTTGTGGAGTGAAAACAGGAACTACCACATCTTTGGTTTGGCTGCAAAACTTGGGTCGTCTCTGATTGATAAATCGTTTTCTCACAATCAAAAGCAAGATCCAATACAGATTCTCTCACGTCGCGCTTCGTAGGCTGTCATAAGCAGAACCACTTTTTCAACGAATGTTGACACGTTCTATTGTATTTTCGTGAGAATTCATAGTGCTCCCGAAAAACTCTCCATTCAAAGCAAAATGAGGTTTACTTGGTTTCACTCACGATATATATTCTGTAGCATCTAGTAAAGGGAAAGTATACCAGCGCTCAGTATTAGGGGCCTCGATAACATGTACGGTCAGTGGCATGATACAAACAATCAGAATTAGCGAGTTCGCAACATGAGTTAGTTAGAAACTGCACGAAAAAAGTTCCACGGATGGTCAATAGAAGTAACCCCCGTCCGTCTCGGAACGTTTTTCCGCCCTCGCCAACCCAATTTCGTCATCACTGTGGCTGGTGCGATATTTTTCCCGAGCTCCAGGTACAGTTCGAGCAAGAAAGAAAGAAAGAAAAAACACGCAAAATGCCCAAATTAAATTTCGTTTGAAATTTTTCAATCGGAAAAAAAAACGAAAACACGATTTTGTTTCGAAGCACATACTTTCGTTACAGAGTGTAGGGCGTCCCACGATGATAAAAAATTACGGCTTTGTCTCTACCACATTTACAACCCCAAAGAAAAGTCAAGCCATAAACTTGTTGTCATTCCCGAGTCGCCCGAAAACAATAACATCAATAGATAGCTACGGAGGTTTATTTCTGGGAAAAGAATATATTTAAAAGCATGTCAAGGTACTCTCATATTTGCATATAATTTTGTACAAATTTCAATACAACAAATCTATTAGAAGTCTGCCGGTTGTCTTTTCTTTTTTCCAACAAAGGTATTTACCGTAAAAGTTTTCTGCCGAATTACGACTCTACAGGTCTTGTCATGCTCGAAACAAATTAGCGCATTCGCACTACAGTTTAATATGCAAGCCTTATTGGCTTAGCACCGATCCTAGATAGATTTACCCTTTCGTATCAAATGTTTTCATTTTTTGTGCGTTTGTTAATGTTTTTTTAAATTTCGCACCCGATCTGCGGCCCGCTGTGGCCCAATTAGCTTATGTAATATAAATGTTCAAGGTCTCAATTTTGGAAATTTTTGTGTGCAAAGTCTAACGATTTTTTATTAGGGAATGCTTTACGTAGTTTTCTCAAATTGCGCCTGGAGCTTGGGAAAAATATCGCGCCAGCCGCAATGATGAAGTAATTGGGCTGGCGTGAGCGGGAAAATGTTCCTCGGCGGCCGGAGATTACTTCTACTAACCATTCGTGAAACTTTTTTCCTGCAGTTTCTGACTAACGATGGAACCGGGCTGATTAAACATGTTACAAACTCGCTAATTCTGATTGTTTATATCGTGTTACTGGCCGTACATGTTATCTAGGCCCCTAATACTGAGCGTCGATATACTTTCCCTCTAGTAAAAGTGTAGAATTTTTCATTCCTTCGAGCGCCACACCGCTAGCGCGTACATCGACCGTATACGGCACCGGACTCGGTCCTACCTCCGGCCCAAACGCATCACACCAAACCACCTCCGCGTCATCCCAAAGCATCCCGCGTCCTCGGATGCCTTCTCCGAACCTGTTCACTTACACGGCTAGGATTGCTCTGGTATTCCTAGATCTTGCTTCATCATTCCATTGTACCACATTCTGTTATTCTGAACCTCGACATCGATTCCGCGCTACTCTGATTAAACACTCATAACAAAAAGCATCTACCGCCGGAACGATACAGTTTTTCAAAATGGACTTCTCCCATATATGGAGTTTAGATTTTGGAAATAGGGTTTAGCTAGGTAGGAAGAAGTTAGCCAGAGAAAAGAGTGTAGACTAGAGAAAAGAGAAAGAGAGATACAAGAAGTGGGCTATCCTCTCTACAGTAAGAACCAAAACTTATAGTGCACCGACCAAGTATACACAAAGTAATATATATATAATATATATATTGTCACACCCCCTAGGCTTGGTACGCATTACTCATTGAGGCAAGAGCCAGAGCATCACTACTAGTCTGTCCACTAGTATGAATAGTAAAGAAATTGCACACCACACACACATTACCTCTAAGCCCAGCACCCCTATACCCAGCAGCAGCTGTGGGATTCTATAGCAGGTCGACCCCTCAGTGTGCGAGGCGGCGACGTCAGCGGGGGGGGCAGCGGTAGCGGCGGCGGCGACGGCGACGACAACTGCGGCAGCGGTGGGCGGCGGCGGAGCCATCGGCACCTGCGGCGGCGACGCCCGAGGCACCCGGCGGCATGGCACGGCTCAACGACGACGGAGGAAGACGGCACGAGACCGCCATCAGCTGCGGCGAGTAGGAGAGGAGAATGCAGAGGAGGAGGGAGGGTTTTCGACGGCGACGCCAGTTAGCGAGCCACCGTGGCTGGCAAGCTGGCTGGCGTACGGGCATGCTGGTTGGGGCTAAACTAGCGCTCTAGCCGCTGTCATCCGTGCACTGGCGCGTCAAAGCCACCATGGCAACACGACGAGGCCACGGCAGCACGACGAGGTCGCCACGGCAGCGCGTCGAGGCTGCCATTGCAGCGCGACGAGGCCGCCACAGCGGCGCTCGTGATCACGGGGTAGAGGCCGGGCATATTGTTCATCCCTCATGCAATGACATCGGGGAAGGGGGGGACGCACTCGTGATTACGGGGTAGAGGCCGGGCATCTTGTTCGTCCCACACGCAATGACACGGGGGAAGGGGGGAACGCACTTGTGATTACGGGGTAGAGGTCGGGCATCTTGTTCATCCCACACGCAATGACACGGGGGAAGGAGGGAACGCACTCATGATTACGGGGTAGAGGCCAGGCATCTTGTTCATTCCACACACCCCCTCGCCGCTCGCAATCGCAACCATATGTATTCCTTCTCGCCCCACGTCGGTCTCCACGAGTTGCGGGTGATCAACTACGACATGGCGCCCATAATTTTAAAGCCCACCACCACCACTAGGTGATCCACCACCCCTGTCATGTAGCATGCAGGGTCGTTGTACACAAACCCCCCAGTTTACTAAAAAAAAAGACTCCGCGCGTGCCTCGATATAAACCTCCACAGGTTAGTTTTGAACCGCAAGCGCGATCCCCAGCCAACTTGTCATGCCGATGCTCTCAAACATGGAGATGGAGTAGGGGGGACGAGGCGTGCTGGGGGCCACAGGGCTGACAAAGTCTCTACTGGAAGCGAGAATGCGGTGGACCTGGAAGCGAGTAGCGGGGACCTGCAAATGCACGTGGGGAAAAGAATGAAGAGTCAAAACTCGACCCCGATATTAACCACCACAAGCTACTTCTGGACTGCCCGCGCAGCGCAATCCCCAGCCACCCGGTCATGTCAATCCAACTTATATCCACCTTGTTATCATCTGCCGTGCATGAGGCGGGGTTGAGACCGCCCATGTAAGGATAGCTATTGCTT